CAACTACATAGCCATATCCACATATGTTTTGCAGTGAGTTAGAGGAAACATGGCTTCAATGATGCACTAGTTAAAAATTTAATATCAAACTTGTAAGACAGAGAGTATCTTACATGTATTGTTATGTAAATAGTTGGAGAAAGTATGAGTCTTCATTGCCTATATTTAAACCCGAAGAGAAAAAAACTTGCTATCACAATCATATAATGTTTTTCTTAAAATAAATTTGCAGCTAGTAGAGATTTTTCATACCCCTTTAAAATTTTTTCAGCAGACCATGCCACATTACTTAAAATTGCTTCTTCAATGGTACTCATCTCACTTGTTAGCCTCCACAAGAAAGCATCCGCGTTTTTTTACCACATCCACCCACACTCTAATTGCATTTAGTCCAAGAAATACATAGTGAATAAAGTCTTTTAAGTCGCTTGGCATCAAACGCCGTTCAACAACTTCTTCTCCGACCCAATCTAATAGCTTACTGAGTAACTTTAAGACAAAAAAAAAAAAAGTAATAATTGAGAGTGTGAGACAGCAAGCATGGTCAAAAGAATTAGCTGAACTACCACTTATGGAGTCAAAATCTAGCAAATGGCACGTGACAAATTTTGACACTTTTAAAGCAGGGACACCTATCAATAAAGTGTAAATACCACAATTTGAGATACACCACAGTACTAACAAAGTGGTAAGAACGCCTAATTTATTTAAAGTTTTTTTTTTTTTTTTTTTTTTTTTTTTTTTTTTTTTTTTTTTTTTTTTTTTTTTTTTTTTTTTATATTTTTTTCCAAAAAAAAAAAATGGTAAAAAACCCTATTTTTTTTTAATTTTTTTTTTTTTTTTTTTTTTTTTTTTTTTTTTTTTTTTTTTTTACCATGATTGGATTTTTCAAATTTGCATCCAAAAACCAATAAGAAACAAAATTGGATTCCAAAAATTAGAAAATATATACACCTAAGACTGAGAGAGTACTGTTGTAATCCTCCCAGAAAAACTATATTTTCCACCATAACATATTAAAATAAGAAACATGATATTAATTTTACATAATATTAACATTAAGAAAACGTGACACTAAAAAATTAATATCTATATTACTAAATAAGAAAAATTACGTTATACCTCTCACTTTTATATGCACGAGGAACTATGATTATAATCTTTCAAAGAGAATCTTAGCAAAGCCTATGTATACAATTGGACGGTTGTTTGAAAAAAGTTTAAATGGGACCGGATCGTTATGTTTAATATGTCCTCTTGACATTATTGCATACCCTACTTGATGGTATGCTGGCTAGGGGCTTAAAAGCATCACTACCTATGAATCTGATTCCATGTTGTTGTTATTTTTTGTCCAAATCTTTGCTGATATATAATGGGCCTACTTTCCTGGAAAGCGATTTTCAACCGAGCGGAGCACTATCCTGGGCCCCAGGCCTTAACCTACTAAGCCCAAAACCCGGACACATAGCTGTCCTGCATAAATAAAAGAGGTAATTTTTTTGACCAAAGTGATCAAAAACCATCAATGTCGAGAATAGTCAAATAGTTAACAGCTTTGTTATAGGCACGGAATGCTTTGAGAGAAATGATTACAATTGTTGATGGCATCATTTTTAAACCATGTATTTGCTTCATAATTAATAGCCATCATATAGTACACCTTGAGATCTTCAAGCGTTTAACTTTTGACCCACAATTCTGCAACCTTGTTTGCAAGTGTCTTCAATAAGGCAACATATAAAATTAATTGAGAGAGTTTTAGTACGCTTGACGTATCAATAAGTTAAATTTTTTTAACTGTTAAATTTGTATATTTTTTAACTTTTACGTGATTTTTACAGATTCAACAAATAAAAAAATTGACTTACTGGTATGTTGACAGAGAAGGTCCTAAATTAATAACCCTACTCTTTAAGTGGTCTAGGAGGCCAAACTAATTACTCTTTTATCAGTCTAAAGAATAGTTAGAAATCATCACACTTAATAATCGCACTGAACTAATGTAATTATTATTTCTAACAATCCTAGAGGTGTCAAACGTGCCGTGCCAGGCCGGCACGGCACGTCCGACCCCAAGCCCGTGGCGGGCCTTGGCCGTGCCAAGGCCGGGCCTGAGGAGAAAATCTTAGGCCCGGTCCAGGCCCGCAGCCCTAGTTCATAAGGGCCAGGCCCGGCCCTGGCCCTTGTAATTTTTTTTTATAAAATTAATTAAAAAAAAAAGAAAATATATCATATGCTCCTAAAAAATGTGATTTTATTGAATTGAGATAATACGAATAAGTACACATAAATGACTACCTCGTTAAAAACCTTGTCAAGTAAAACCCGTGGGGAGATCGGGACAAAACCTTAGCAAAGGAAAAAAGAGTGCAGTATTCTAAGAATAGTAAATTACAAAACCTAAGTGCTTCCAGAAGATTCTGTTATTTCTAAGTTAGAAAAATAATCTTGCATTGAATCATCTGTGTATTGTTATTTTTGAATTCTGGCATCTTCCGAGTCTTTAACGCACATTAGCCCCTCCAAGATTCTGGATGCATTCTGCTTCTCTTCTCATCAAGAATTCAGTTGCTTACACTAAATACTTGTTCCGATGTTACCGTTGACACTGGAGTTGTCAGAATGTCACGATCTATTACGAACAAGGTTGGAAAACAATCAGTCTTGCTCTTCCACCACTGTAAGATGTCCAGTTTGTTGTCATGGATTACAAAATTTGCTTCAAAATATTTTACCAATTCAGTAGACGCTTGTGTTGATGATGATCCTGCCATTTTCTCTTTCTTCTTCAAGAAACTCCACGACGAGCCTTTAGGCCCCGAACTGCTAGTTGACGTCAAAGTTCTCTGTTCTTTTTCACCTGTGTTGTATCTTGCTTCATACAAATCAAGTACCTTTTCTAACATTTTCCTAGTGTTAGTAATAGTTAGTTGCGTATCAATACCTAAATTTTCTGCTATAGCAGTCATCAAAGATTCAGACTCATCTACTCTGCACCTAGGATCTAAAATGGTTGTTAATGCATATAACATAGGACAACCTGACCAATAACTTTTAAATTTAGTTTCCATTAGCTTAACTATGTTTCGAAAAAGTATTGTATCTCTATAATAAGAAAATATTTATGAAATATTAAATAGTTGATGTAAAGCTAAATGTGCAGTAGGATAATAACTTCAGAAAGAAATTCAGTATCATTGTAAAAAAACTTCTATAAATTTAAAAAAAATACTCACCAATCTGTATCAAAAATTAAAGGTTGATCGTTCTTACTGTTTACATATGTTGTGATGAGCTGTGAATACGGGAATGCAGCCTTCAACATTAAATAGGTGGAATTCCACCTATGTCCCACATCAGTTGAAAACTTTCTTGAGCGCATCTGACTATTCCTACAATATTATTTGTATTCAGGGAACCGAGCTCTAGAACTAGATATGAAAGATAAAGATTATCTAATATTTGTTAGATTAGCTGAAATATGTTCAATTCCTGCCTGAACTACTAAATTGATTATGTGATACACACACCGTTGATGAAAAATTTATCCCCCAAACACTGCTTTCAAACTACGTTTAAACATGTTAATTGTAGCCATGTTAGCTGACACATTATCAAAAGTAATAATTAAAACTTTATCTTCTATCCCATAAAACCCAAAAATGTTCATTATTGTTCCAAAAATAGCATTTGCGTTATGAGGATATAGCCATAAATGAAAACCTATTATTCTCTTTTGTAAAACCTATTCATCATCAACATAATGCACCGTGACGCATAAATATCTAGTTTTATTGCACCTCTCGCATAGATTAGAAGTATAAGATACAATAGCATTAAAAGTCCTAACATTATCAACAAGAGATTGTCTCATTGCATAAAATACTTTTATGCAACCAGAACGAGTTGTGTTTCTACTTACCCATTTAAATTGCGGATAGAAGGCCATCTGTATGAATTTTTCGAACGACGCATCATCTGCAAAATAAATAAGTAATTCGGCACTAGCTAGAAATTTAGCTAGTGCCTCACGAGCACGTTGTGCATTGTATGTAAAATTTTACAACCCTTGTGATGTGAGTGATAGTATTTGTTGGCGGGAGTCCACACTCTCATCTTAGTGCAACGGTAAACATACTTTCCAATGTCTATCTAGATGACCAGTACCCCCACCCTTTTTATTAGAAAAGTATTTTTTACAATACTTACATACTGCACGAATTTTCATTTCACCTGTTTTTAGATTTGGTCGGGGCTCATCTGTGAAATGCTGCCATGTAGGAGAAGTTCGCGGTCTTTTTCCCCTGGTGCGTTCTCCAACTTCCTCGTTGTGCACTGAAGCATTATCAACTGGAGCATTTTCTGGTTCAGTGGGAGTGGGGTTGGGAGGCATCATTTCATCCTCGAAAAATGGCTCATCACTAAGCTCAGGAAGAGCAGTGAAATCATGGAAGTTTGATACAACCATTTTCTAGAAATTGATTGAACTTAAACTTTGTAAATGAAAGAGCAAGAAAATGAGTGATTGCGAAAAAAGCTTAGAATCAAAATCAAAGAGACAAGATGAGAGATAAAATGAGAGTGAGATGAGACGTTGAAAGTGAATTGTTGTGTGAGATTTATGGTGGAATTAAGGGGTATTTATAGGAGATTTTTAGGGTTTTTTTGGATTGTGACCGTTGGGCCCAACGGTCACAAACAGAATGGGCTGGAGGGCTTTTTTGCGGGCCTGGGCCGGGCCGAATATGGATTTGGGCCGAACTGGTCTTGGGCTGGGCCGCATGCCTTCACGGGCTTGGGCCGTGGGCTGAGAAGCTGAGACCCAACCTTAGCCCATCAAACGTGCCGGGCCGACATGACCCGTAACAGTACCGTACCGGGCCGTGCTAAATTCGGCACTGTTATAAGTTGGGTCGGGTTGTCCATGGCACATTTGACACCACTAGATAATCCCAATAAATACCCACCTGCTCTTAAACTAGCACTTTCAAAGTGATCAAAAGAAAATCTCATAAAATAGGTTTATTTAGTGAGAAGAAAAAGAAGGAAGATCTGCCATGAAAATCTAACCTTCTTGTTCATGTTAATAATAATATGGAGCACAACCTTACCGATATCTTTTTATACTCATTGAAAGATCCCCTTCGCCCCATAAATCCCCTTTGTTTTCTTCCAACGTCCTTGGCGTGAACCAATCTAAATGCTTCAAATCGTTCCCTCTTGTTAAATACAACCCAACTCTCACAACTTACAAGAACAGAAAGCATTTTCCTCCTCAGTGGTCCAGCCACCCAAAATGGGTTTTCTCTTCTACATTATTCTCTTTGCTTTCCTTTTCACTCCCGGCACCGTTCATTCTCGAACTTCCCCTCAGAGCCTCAAAACGACAGCGGTTCTGCTCGACGTCGCGGCTTCGACCCAGAAAACGACAAGCATTTTCGCGTTGGAGTCGGAAACGACAGGAGTACAGTCGCTGAACCAGATAGAGAAGGAGAGAGTGAGCTCTTCTTCTTCGATTTCTCTGCAACTCCATTCCAGAATTTCGATTCGTAAACCCACGCACGGAGACTACAAGTCGTTGACGTTGGCTCGGCTCAAGCGCGACTCAACCCGAGTCAGATCTCTTACGACTCGGCTGGATCTGAAACTTGGAGGAATTTCTCACTCGGATCTTAAGCCGGCGGAGACCGGAAAGGAATCGGCGGAGCTGGCGGCCGAGGAAGTGCAGGCCCCGGTGATATCGGGAACGAGTCAGGGAAGCGGTGAATATTTCTGCCGAATCGGAATTGGAAACCCGGCGAGTCAGGTTTACATGGTGGTCGACACGGGAAGTGACGTCAACTGGGTGCAATGCGCACCGTGCGCAGACTGCTACGAGCAGACTGACCCAATCTTCCAACCGTCGGTGTCTTCTTCCTATTCTCTTCTCTCCTGCGAAACCCAGCAGTGCAAGTCCCTCGACGTGTCCGAATGTAGGAACGACACGTGTCTATACGAGGTGTCGTACGGCGACGGGTCTTACACCGTCGGTGACTTTATTACCGAGACCATCACCCTCGGCTCGGCTTCCGTCAGCAACGTCGCCATCGGCTGCGGACACACTAACGAGGGCTTGTTCATAGGCGCCGCTGGGCTTCTCGGGCTCGGCGGCGGCGCGCTGTCGTTTCCTTCGCAGCTCAAGGCCAAGTCGTTTTCGTACTGTCTCGTGGACCGAGACTCCAGCTCCGCCTCGACTCTCGAGTTCGACGCGGCTTTCCCTCCCAACGCCGTTACGGCGCCGTTGAAAGGCAACCCCGAGCTCGAAACATTTTACTATGTCGGAATGGAGGGCCTAGGCGTCGGCGGGGAATTGCTTCCCATTCCGACTTCCTTTTTCCAGGTCGACGCGAACGGTAACGGCGGGATCATCGTCGACTCGGGGACGGCCGTCACGCGGCTGCAGACGGACGTTTATAACGCGCTTCGCGACGCGTTCGTGAAGGGCACGCGCCACTTGCAGTCCACGGACGGTGGGGTGGCGCTCTTCGACACGTGCTACGACCTGTCGTCGCAGACGCGCGTGGAGGTCCCGACGGTGTCGTTTCACTTCGCCGGCGGGAAGTTCTTGTCGTTGCCGGCGGAGAATTTCCTTATTCCGATAGACTCTAACGGGACGTTCTGCTTCGCGTTCGCTCCGACGTCGTCGCCGTTGTCGATAATTGGGAATGTGCAGCAGCAGGGGACACGTGTCGGTTTCGACCTGGTTAATTCGCTCATTGGATTCACGCCCAATGACTGTTAGGATTTTCGTGTTTGACCAGTTCGTTAGGTTTCCGGTTGACAGTTTTTGTCGCTGATGAAAGCAGTGTTTTGCTTTTCTTTTGTTTTTATTTTCCTTTTTATTTTTTCCATATTTATTACTGTTTCGTGCAAGTTAGTGGCAATGATGGTAAATTGAATATAAGTGTGAGGGTATTTAATTCTGCCGGAGGTAGATGGCTGAAGACCGTGAATGTGATCCGCGGATATAACAGTCGCTTTTTATTTTTTATTTTTATTTTGAGAATGGATATAACCCCTACTTTACATGGAGCGAATGGAAAGGAAAAACAAAAGGCCGTTACTTTACAGTTGTATTTTTTACTTTACTTTATACAGTTGTAAGAGGTGTACACTACTGACCTATAAAAAAGTGGGGCGAAGAGAATGAGAGATAAAATGGTCAACTAATGGTGCTTGTCATTCAAATTTTTAATTTGAATTAAAATATAATATTTTTTAAAAATTTATATTATAATAAAAAAATTAAATGTGATATTTTTTAAGAAAAATTTAAAATTAAAAACTCAAATTAATAAAATGAACGAGATCATATTTTATTTTTAAGAAATTTCAAAAATATGAACTCTTTTATTTTATCAATTTAAATTTTTAATTTAAATTTTATTATAGTTAAAAATTCTCACAGAAAGTCACATATATTTATTATTATTATTATTTTTTGGTACAGTGAAAATTTTTTACATAAAATTATATTTTAATTCTAATTGAAAATTCGAATTCAGATCTATGTTTGTTTAAAATACAATGCATTAACATGTGTGTATATATATGTGTGTTACATTTGTCTTTGTATTTAAAAAAGTCAACATTATTGTTTAAAGTAGACGGGCTGCCCAATACCCCCAAATTCACTCAAAGTTAAATTTTAACTTTTCCAAGCTTAGAGAAATGTGTGTTTAACCAAAAATGAACTGAGAAGAGACTTTTGATATTTTTCCTTATTTTTAAAAATAAAACTTATCAATCCCTCTTTCGGTAACGTGAAAATTGAAATGGGTATTCGGGAAAAAAAGAAGAAGAAAAAAACATGAATAAAATTTGTGTGGAGGCAGCGACAGTCAACAGAATCCACGTCCATTTATCTTTCTGGCATTTGTGAATAGGCGTCTTCCGATCCTTGGATGATTGGAACGTTCCAATATCGATTTTGCTTTCTAAATTTTGTCATTTTATGGCTAATCAATCTGGGTTTCACGTGCATCGTTATGAAGCCTGCCTGGCTATATTATCTCATCGCATGTGAGAACTTGCCTTGCCAACTTTCCCTGCTAGTTTCCACAAACTACTATAAGACCACCTTGAGTCTTACTCCGTTAAAAGGGTTCAAACCCAAACTGAATCCGACCCACCATTAGGATTTAAAGTCCAAACTGAAGCCCATCACTGTTAACTGGCCCAATAAAGTGTTAAGACGTTGAGAAATCTTGACAAATTATAAATAAGAGCTCGGGGGTACTATTCACACACGCAGACCCAGTTTACTGTTCCTTCTACAATAAATGACAATTTTACCCTCGATTTACTACTGCTCCTTCGTTTGGCACAGGGGCATTTTGGTCTTTAGGTTATGTTTTCGTTTGCTTTGCCATTGGCGTGTAGTTTTTGGTCATTTCAAGTGTGTGGAGCCCTATGTTTGCTCCTTCCAGGAGTTTCTACTTTTCTCCACCGCTTTGTCCTTTTTTTTTTCTTTCTTCTCCTCCTCTGATTCGTTTCTTTTGCTTGGTTTGGGCTGAAACCTTGCATCTGTTCTCTTATGGCTTCGATCTCTTTGCCCCTTTTGTCTCATTTGCGTGGAGAGTTGGGATTTTTATCCCTTTTCTTTTATGGATTTTTTGGGTATTTGGATATGTGATCTACGTTGGGGTTTTTTTTTTTAGGTGTTCTTGTTGCACGGCTATCCGATTCTTCTTGCTTGCTTCTCCATTGGTTTCGTTCATTGTTTTGCTTTGGGTTTTTGTTCATCGTTTATTTTTCCCTGTATTTTTTCAATGGATTTCTAATCTATATTGGGGGTTTTTTTTTTTGGTGTTCTTGCTACAGGGCTGTCCAATTCTTCTTGCTTGCTTCTCCATTGGTTTCGTTCATTGTTTTGCTTTGGGTTTTTGTTCATAATTTATTTTTTCTTGTGTTTTTTTTCAGTATTTTTAGTTCCTTTTTGTCTGGTGTTTTATTTTGTTACTGTTTTCTATAAATTCTTTGGAACTCATTAATGTGTTGGTGCAGGATTCTTCCATTCTATCGGCGGATCTCTATATTCCTCGGCTTTGGTTGTCTTCATTTGTGATTTTCGGTTTGGTTTTTCTGCTCCTTTATATTTCTTAATCTTTCTAGTTTAATGTATCTGATAATTTTGTTGCTGATAGAGTCTTACCCCTTTTTGATTCTTTGATGTTCTACTTCTGTTGTCGTTTATATTTTCTTCGGTGTTTTTATAGCATTGGTTTAATTTCCTATTGTGATTTTGCTCTATTATGTTTTTATTTATGTGTTTGATGATGTAGCTATGTTTGATGTTGGTCTCATTCTTCGTTTCAGCTTATATCTTTTTTCTCTTTGTTTGACTTTGCATGTTTATTCCGTTCATTTATTTTTTTCTTGTGGTTTTAGACAATTATGTTTTGATTTATTTCTTGATTGGTATAGTAATTTTGAAAGATTGCATGCTCAGTTTGTTTTCCCTCCTATTATTAACGTTTCTTTCTGTTGTGTTTCTCGCTATTTGGTTCCAAGCCTTGACTATTTAAATTCTTTAACATTTGGCGACATCATATGCGATTTTTGAGTGGATAGTACATATGATTTTTGAGATTTTTTTTTATCTTTAATTCTTCATCTTCATTTGTTTTTGCATTTAGTCAGGAATCTCTATATGGATATTTTTGTGTTGTTTCAGTTGAGCTCTATATTTTTTCTGAAGCATTTATTAAGGTAATGACTTATAATATATGCAATAAGTATTTGCCCTGCCACGTTGATCATTTGTACCTATGTTACTGTAGAAATATTAAATGAATCTTTTATTCTTATCTTTTTCTCGCGATGGGAAAGCAATTTTTTGGGCCAAAAAAATTTAATTGCTTTTCTTTTTCTTCATTTCCTTCTCTAGTAATTTTTCCCCCTTTACTGTTCCTATTTCTTTCTTTTCTTTCCTATTTTGTTCTTTTTTTTTCCAGGTGATTACTATGTTTTTTCTTCATCATTTATTAAGGTCATCATTATATTATATGTGGTGTCTATTTGCCCTGCCACGTCAATTATCTGTACTCATATCACTGTAGAAATATTGAATGAATCTTCTATTTCTTTCTACTTTCTGCAACTGGAAATAAATTTATGTGAAGAAAAAGTTTGATTGTGTTTTCTTTTCCCTTTTTTTCTCCATTTTATCATCTAATTTTTTCCTCTTCTGCGGTTCCCTTTTTTTTCCCCGTTTTCTTTTGATAATGTATTATTCTTATTACTTAATTTAAGAATTTTAGTTTTCTATATCCTATCCGCTGACTTTTTGTTTTACGTGTAATCTCCTTAGAAGTGGTGCATTTGCTCTTTGTTTCTATATTTAAGAATGTCCCTGCCGATGGACTTATTATACATGTCCCCATTTCTGTCTCTCCTCTTTCACCCATTGCTTCCCTATGTCAGTTTACATCATCTACTGCTCTTTTAGCTGGTTTATCATTTAGTGCTCGACCTTACTTAATACTTGACTATCTTATTTATGAGCCTTTCACCCTTGCTTTTATCTGATTGGCTGACATTTTAGATTTAAGTCGTTATCTATACTGTTCCAGGTACTGTTCATAATCACTATCCATATCCATTTAGTTCATATCCCCGAGGTTGGATGCATTCATTTGCTAGGATAGTATTGATATTTACTGTTAATTGTCATTTTTTCCTTTGTATTTGCTAAGTGAGTAGTCCTTATACATTATGTCATTTGATTTCCAATTATGTATACATGCATATATAGATATATATATATATATGTATATATATATTTCTCTACCTATTGTAGTCTTCATTTAGTCTTGGAAGTTACTTTGCATGGCAATGATGATAGTAATTAATTTTGATGTGTTGAGTTTTATATAGTTTCTCCAGAAATTGCTGTGAATAGTTTTTTTTTAATTTGATTTTGATCTTATTCATTGTTTTTCAATTGGATTTTATAAAGTTTTGTCCTCTTTTTTTTTTTTTTTTTTTTTTTTTTTTTTTTTTTTTTTTTTTTTTTTTTTCTTTTTTTTTTATTTTTTTTTTTGTTTTTTTGCTTATTCTACTGATTTTGATCATTTGGTTTCAATTATTGTTACGTAAAATTTCTTTTCCCATTGCTGACCTTTTGTTCATCTATATTACTGTTCCTATTTAGTGCCAAAAAGGGGAAAAAACTCTATTATCTTATTTTACTATTCTTATGATATTTATGGTTTTCCTACTATTCTATTTATTACTTTTTAGCCTAGTTTCTTTTGATTTCCTGGAAAATACATTATAGTTTTTGTTATTTTGTCAATATTTTTTTTTCTCTCTCTTTCCTTTTCCTTTTGTTTTGTACTTTTTTTTAAAATTCACTTAGTAATCTTTGGACAACTTTATATATTACTCCATTCACTTACTTTGTATCACATAAAAATTATCATGTGTGATAAATATAATATCTTATAGTGTTGTGCAGTTGCCCTTAGCAGGTAGCTACAAAGGTCCCCTTAGCAGGTAGCCACAACTTATTTATCACATATTACTGAAAATCTTCCATATTTGAGTCACAATTACTATATAAAAATATTGTTACAACTAGTTTTTTTTTTTTTTTTTTTTTCATTTTTTAAGCTTGCCTTTCCTTTTTTTTTAATTCATTTATTTACTTACTTAATTACTCATATACATATACATACACATACACATAGATATATACATATGCAGAAATATATATATATATCTGTCTATTTTAACTTTAATAAATTAATCTATGTGGCAATATGAAAATGATTGATTTTGATATTTTAAGTTTTAAATAATTTGTCCAAACATTACTATGAATGTTCTTTTCCTAATTTGATTTTCATTTTGTTCACTGTTTTTCAATTGAATTTATAATGTTTTTAACTTTGTTGTTTTCACTTATTGTATCCGTTTTGGTCATGTTTTTTCTATTATCTTATTCAAATATTATCCATAGTCACATACAATTTTTTTCCATTGCAGATCTTTTCTCCTTACGTGTTATTGTCCATGTATTTCTCTTTACTATTTCCATTTGTTAAAGTGGTTTTGGTCATTTC